TCAACAAAATGCGTTTGTTTTTGCCATTGACTCTTGCCATCATCTTTGTTTTGGCAATTATTAACGCTCCTTCTGTGGAATCAAGAGCTTATGCCGGTCCAGAAGCTGATGCACGTGCCGATGCTGATGCTGAAGCACTGGCTGATGCTAATGCTGATGCAGATGCAGAAGCCTTTGTAAATATTACTCTTCTATACCTTATACTAATATAGTGTTTTTAATTTGCCATGTTTACTAAACAAAACAAAAATCTTTGCGACATTTACACACATACTTATTTGAATATTTCTATCGACTAATTTTCTTATTAGTATGTTATGAGTTACAAGATACATATGTATATATTTAATATAATGTGATTGATTTATTGTTTATTTTTTTAATTTCTATATTTTCTTTTAGTTTCTTTATTTAGTTGTTTATGTATAAGATGAGATTTAAAATGTTTAAATAGTTTTTCAAATTAAATGACGATCAAATTCTTTTTATAATAATGTACAAAAGTATGGTTGTGTATAATTTTTACGTACCCTTTTGTATGATATGTTGCGCAAATAAAATTTTGTTTTCTTATAGTGGGGAGCATTGGCAGGTGCAGCAGCGTCTCTGGTAAGTATGAATATATATTATAATTGCAAAATATAAATATGTCGATTGTTTGTCACTATTAACATTAAAGAAATACTATTTTACTTTTTAGATACCGACTATCGTCAGTGCAATAAAAAAAGGCTAACAACACATAATACAAGAAACTTGCAACACAAGCACAGAAGATATTTTAAAATAAACGACAAAAGAAAATATGAATATAAATGTGTATGCACACAATAATTTTGGATTTATAAAGTTATTTACTAACTGAATAAACGTTTGCATCGATAATGTGTTTTTTCTGTACAAAATACCAACAATATTATTATTTTTATTATTACTAATATTACTATTGGAATTATAATTATTGTTATACTTATAATCATTTTTATATGTATTTCGAATATGATTTTTTTCTTCTTTAGAGTGCGTATCTAAAATAAATAATATTCTGCAAATTTATTTTGTAACTTCATGTTTTGTATCTTGCCTTAGAAATTAATAATGCGCATTTAATAATGCGCAATTAATAATGCGCATACTGGACATTGTGCGTATTATGAATTTTTCCGCAAACAAACCAAACTAGCCGAATAATTAAAAAATAATTAAAGTTTCGTTATTAGTTATGTCTTTACTAGGTTGTAGTTGCTTTACAAAAAGTAAAATGAGCCATTTTCACTTTCGTAGAAAGATATGTTTTTAAATGACATAAAAAGGATGTTACGAAGAATAGATGGCTGTGTTCGATTGTTTTAATCAATTGTTTTGTGTCCTCTTTTCTTTTATCATCATTCTACATAAAAATCAAAATAGAACAACGTGAATTTCGTCGAGGAATATGTTTCTAATTGACGAGAGAGGTGTGTTACACAGGTTGCGTTACACAGCGCTCAATACTTTTAAGATGTTTCTTTGTCTTCCATTTTATAGTCAAAGTAAATGCACTTATATTTTAAAAAGAAGATGATAATAGGATTTTCCATTTGTTCTCTTTTGTACAATACATTTTTTTAATTCATTATTTTGAATTATAAAGTAAATAGTTTCATTTTTCAAAGTGTTGTTCAACAAATTTTAGATTCAAAGTTGCAACTATTTACTACTTAATATGTTAGTTATAAAAAAGTATGTATACTTTTAAATAAATAAATGAAAAATGCACCAATGGTCGAAACACGGTTAGTTGTGTGTTTAACATTTTTCATTATTACGCGGATAAAAAACTACCTGCAATGGAGTTTAATATGCAGGTAGTTTTGTCTGATAACGAAAAACAAAGCAGAAGCGCGAAAGTAGATTGTATTGAATTTAAACAGAAAATGTTATTTACTATATTGCGAAATGTGTAATAGTTATTGAAATATTAATTAATAAATATAAAATCAATATGAATCAATGAGCGCGTAAGAATCAATGATTCGGACTCTGTAAGAGTATATGATTGTTAAGTGTACCGCTGTGAAAATCAGCTGATCGCAAGAAGCTGTGTCATACGCTGCTTGTTTTCTCCGCATTTCGTTGCTGAGACATTGCATGAGGCAAACTATTTTTTATTTAAAACTGATAATCGTGCTTATAGAGTCGAAACCATCGCTCTTCATATGCTCTATAATTAAAACAAATATACAAATTGGATATGAAAATATACAGGATAACTATTCCAAAACTATCAAAAATAATAACTTCGACTTTTTTCATATTAAATCGTATATGAGAGTAAACATCATTAGTGTCAAAATGTTTCTCACAAGATCATAGTTTGCAAAATGTTACAATCATTGTGTTTTTTTAAATGGAATTACATGCACAGTTTTGTTGATGCAATGTTGCAATTGACGTTAAACCAAATTCAACTGTGTATAATATTACGATTATCAAATAACCTTGAAAACCAAACTTTATATTTTAAATTTATCATATTTTGCAATATCAAAACTGTTCTTGAAACGTAATAAAGTGAACTGAAATATCAACGAAACGACATGAAAATGACATAAACGCAGTTCCAATCCGGAAATCATGCAGAAGACTCTTGTTTATTGCTTTAGATTATCGCGTATATATTACTTAATAAATATGCTGTTTATCTTTACAACAATGCGTGTTCTGCGAAAACATTTAAGTGATTGTAGGCTATCATCTAAGTCATAAAAATAAATTCAGTACATTTAAAGATACGAGGTGCACGAAAATTGATAATCGTACTTTTTTAGCGTATATAAGCGCTGTGCACTAACGGAGAAATCAAAACTATTCAAGTAACGTNTTATTAAACATTCAACAAAATGCGTTTGTTTTTGCCATTGACTCTTGCCATCATCTTTGTTTTGGCAATTATTAACGCTCCTTCTGTGGAATCAACAGCTGTTGCCGATCCTGAAGCTGATGCATTGGCTGATGCACTTGCCGATGCCGATGCTGAAGCAATGGGTAAAGCAATGGCTGAAGCTTTGGCTAATGCAGATCCATCTCTTGTAAGTATTACTCTAATGCCATGTACTAATGTAATTTTTTTCAATTTGCCATATTTACTAAACATTCTGTGACACATATACACACACTTATTCTAATGTTTCTTTCGACGAACTTTTTTATTAATTATGAGTTAAGACATACATATATATTTAATATATAATGTGATTTATTTATAATTTATTTTTTTTAGTTTTTATTGTTTATATGTATATTTATATGTTTTAGTTATTTATGTATAAAATAGGATTTCGAATGTTTAAATAAAAATTTGTTTTTTATAGTTGGGCAAGTTAAAAGAGAAAGCATTGAGTATTGTAAGTATATATATATAATTGTAAAATATATGTTGAAGTTTATCACTAATAACATTAATCAAATACTATTTTACTATTCATTAGTTGGCAAAAGTGGCTCCGTCTCTTCACGCAAAACTTTCAAAACTTTTAAAAGGAAAATAACAACGCACGGCACAAAAACCATAAACGACAGGAGAAAAGCATAAATGTGTGCAAACAATAATTGTAAAACAATATTTGTGAAATTTATGAATTATGAATTATAAAGTTACTTAAAACTGAATAAATATTTGCATCAATAATATGGTTTTTCTTTAGAAAATACTAATAATATTACCTCATATTATTAATAATATAACTCTTTTGTGTTAAATTTAACACTTTTTTTAAGCGTAAAACAAACTTAATTTATATTTTGTGTTTTTTTAATTTTGTAAAATGCTGTAGGACACTTTTGTTTACGATATTTTAAATAAAAAGAATTAAAGAAATGGCAATAACAAGCTAACGTCAGATGTTCGGGTACAATTCTTTTATAATTCTAAGATTTTAAAGAGGTTTTAACAAACGTTTTGATCCACTATTTATATAGATATTTTTTTATCTGTATATACGTATTACTTTTTGTTTACTTCTTTTTTGAATCACGACAAGATATATTATTTATCTTTATAACATTGAGTGTTTCACGTATAAGGAATAAATGTTTTTATCAAATTATCATAATCCTTTAAGCTAAATATATAAATATAAATCTGTGTTGTAGTTGCTGATAACGTGTGTTTTACTTTTATTTTACATTTTTAATAAAAATGTTTATTTGTTTCCGCACTCTTCTTATCTTGGATAAATGTAAATATTTCTTAGAACGTTTATTATATATCTCCATATATTTTGTTATAAAATAAAACAATTATGTCCATACATATCTTTTAATAAATAAAACAAATGTTTACGACAGCATGTACGTGTAATAAAAGATAAAAATATTGTTTTAGAACCAATAATTATTATCGTGTTTACAAAATTCGTGATTGCGCTTCTTCGTACGATGAATATATAAACTAGAAAAGTGACAATGTCAAATCACTAATGTGCGAAACTTAGTATAATTGTCAACCAGTTCGAATTTCAGTGATCACAAGACAATGCGACTGTCGTATCTCTCTTTGGCTTTTGCTGTGATTCTTATCGTGGCAGTCATGCTCACTCCCAGAGCGAAAGCCGAAAGTGATGCAGTCGGCATGGCTTTTGCAGACGCTTCGCCTTATGCGGACGCTTCTCCCAATGCAATTGCCGATCCAATTAACTGGGTACGTAGTAATCAACGCAACGTATGTATTTAAACTTTAAATTGTAAAAGATTTTATTGCGATTGAGTCGATAATATAATCAAAGTGCAAAAAAAATTTGATAAAACATGTGTCTACATAAGTTTGTCTGAGCATATACAAACACTTTAATATATATGTATCTTTTGTTACATTAGAAAAAAGTTAAACAATGGGTGTGGAATAAAGTAAGTATGCAAATAATATATAGATAAAACTAACGCTTGGTATTGCAAGTATTCTAAAAATAATCTTCTTTACTTATTAGGCAAAAAATAGCCTCGTATCGCTAGGCCTACTGGCGGCGGAAAAGGGGGCGGAAAAAGCAGTGGATAAAATACTGGAGAAAACATCTGAAGAAAATAAACAACAGTAATAAAAAAATGTAAAAGGAAATTACGCATGTAAACTATAAGAAAAGAAGATTGTTAATAAAACTAATTTACGTTTAAGTGTGTTTGTTTATTATTATCTCTTTTTTGTGATAAGAAGCACATAAACTGCGTGACTTACACACATACTTTACTTATTACTTTCGTGACAAAAAGATCGATAATTTTACGTGTGAAGAGGAAATGTAGTATTTACAACTTTTCTTCTACCTCTTGCGCGTTTTATAAACACACACTGTGTGATTATAAACGTATTACGTATATAACATCGGTTTGTTCACTTTGTACATTTTATTCGTGTCGATCTATTAACGTATACTTAATGCAATTTCCCGGTGAAATTGCATGACAGAATGCGGCGTATTCGTTACCACGTAACGACCGCGTACGAGTTTGTATTTCTCTGACGGAAGTATTATCTCATATGTCGTCCGCGCGCACACACGCTCGTAATAAGCTCGGAGAGAATCGCGTTATTACAATTAATGCACGGCAGTTGTTATTTAAAGTGAAAGGGAGAGAGAGAGAGAGAGAGAGATAAAGAATAAAGCCGCAAACTTGCCGTCTGATTAAATATCCCGCCGGGCTTATACACTAAATTAATTATACGGACAGAGTCCGCGGTCGAGTTTCGCACTCGCCGCGAAATTCATGACTTTCTCGTTATAGCACACAACTGTGAATGCGAAACTGCCGTCGAAAAAAATCTCGACAGCGAGACGAATTAAGCGTTTTGTCTTTCTCGAGATAGAAGATAAAATTGTATCCGCGCAGACGATGAATAGAGATTTATAATTTTTCAAGTGTCTTCTCTTACCTCGGTCGACGCGTTGGACTCGTCTCGTCGTCGCGCGATTCCGACATCTTGATTTCTGCAAACACGTAAAGCAAAGCGTGTGAACAAAGGACACGTTAAAAAGGAAAGTTGTAAAGTTACATGTACATATTATCTAAATTAAGTTGTGAGAGAGAAATTTGCATATAATATATTACCCACACAGTTGAAAAATTTCAACGGCGTTAGAATTTTATGACGCATAACTTGTAACATTTTGTGTATGTGTGTGTGCAAAACACTCGGTTATTAAAGCCATAAATTGCGCGCCGCCGAATTCCAACGACGAGCTGTAATTCCATCACGGGATGATATTTTTATGAATAGACATTTTTTGCAAAAATATTAATTAGGCCGCTTGTCGTTACGTAAAACTAGATTTTCGCATTTGTTATCTGTCAACTTTTCGATCGCAAATAATTTAATTATTATCGCAATATTGTTTTCTATGTAATAACATAAACGAAGCAACTTTTTTTTGTATAATAGTTTTGTTCGTTATTACGTTTCAAGAAAAGATTAAATATCTTGCAATTCACTTCGATCACGAGCAATATTTGATACAAGATGTCGTCTTTTCGATTAATGATGTACAGGTGGCGCACAAAATAATTTATGACTGTTGCTTATTGTGACAAGCAAAATCCAATCGCGTACATCGGTTGCGCAATGTGTATGCGGTTTCGAATCAATATAAGTGCGGTATCGTGCGCACACCTGACCGCTCGAGACAAGATTAGCCCTTTAGCCAAATGCCGTTTGGTTTGTAAACGATGACAGCTCCGGCTTTGCCTCTCCTATCTACGTACGTCAAGTGAGAGCGCTATTAAATTTTCTCTTTCATGTCTTCACTTCAATATATATATATATGTACGTTAAAAGCTGGTGAGTTATTTGTCCGAGGATGCCCTGCCCAGTCGTCTCAATATGTCATCGACATCGATCTCCGTTACGCTTCCGTTTCAAATCTAAACCATCCGTTTTCACGCTCTTTCCTCGCTCTTCTTCTTTCTCTAGGTTCTAATTTCGTCGCTTAGTAAAGTGGAATTTCCTTTTGCGACATCATAGTCAAATCGCGCCGAAACCACACACGATAGTTTCCTTGGTAAACTTTTTCTCGAAAGCATATTAAATATATTTTTTAAATGTTTTAAAAATGTAGTTATAAAATATTAATTATATTTGTTATTATTCAAATATATGTGGTAATGAGTGTAACAGATATCCGTCGGGTCACGAGCGATCCATCGTCAGCAAAGAGTTACACTGACAATTTTGTATCAAAGGATTCGTCAAACAATCAAAAACATCGAGAACGCGTAATCTTTTTGTGATTTCGCGTATCGTCCGTCGGATACTCGCGACCAAATCTCTTTAAAATTGGCGACGCTCTTCGTGACGCCAAAGAAGGAAAGAAAGAGGCTTTCATCACAGAAGGGGGGATCGCTTTACGTGTGTAGCTTTTCGCTTTTTACGAAGCTAACTTTCACGCTGGAAAGTAATTTCGTCGGCGGCGTTACACTGCGTAAACGAGAAAAAGAATCGTCGGAATTCCGTCGGAGGCGCCGCCGCCACTTTTCATTATACAGCTACTTTAACGACCGCTTGCGGACTGTCAAGGATATTGCGCGTGAAAACGCCGTTGCCTCGAAAATCGGTTTGTATTCATCCCCTCACCCCATTTTCTCTGTTTTCCTCGTCATTGACTTTAACGTTGTACGAAAAATATTGAATTCCCGCGAAAGTTCGAGAAACAGACGGACGGCGCGGCGGTTGACTTTTTCCACTTGTCTTCTACGGAAATTTTTTACGAACAAGATTTGTGCTAAAAAAATAATTAAACTTTCGAAAAACGTTAGAGGACGCCTGTGGCTGAGTCACTGAGTAAATAAAAAATCGCTTTGTGTACACAAATAAGTAACGTATTGTTTCTTTTTTTTTTTAATTGTATTTATTTTATTTATTATTATTTAATTATGTATGTAGTTACGGATGTAACTTAATATACAAATATCCGTCGGATATTTCGAATGACCCAGTCAACGAAGGATTAAACCTCCTCTGCGTTGAAAATGTATATTCCAATCTTCCCCTTTCCTCCCGATTGGTTTTTTGTGTAACTCACAATTAATATCATAAGCGGAATGTTGAATAATAAAAACACATGTATATTAGAGTACACATAATGAGACATTTTATATGTGATATCAAATAACCGATAACATTCGAAAGTGAAGCGCACTCTCTGTCTGTGTGTGTAGGCGCTTACATATATCGTTCAGGCAAATTAAATTTTACGCCACAAACGAATGTGTAGATACGTGTTTAAATGTTAAGCTGTATTTGCATTGACTGCATTTCCACAAAATTAATCGTCGCGTATGAACTACACGTGGACGATCGCGAATACTTTGTGTGACTGAGCTGACGGGATTGTATTTCATATATGTATACGTATCGCGCGATTTGTACGTATGTCTTATCATTTTTGTTACATCAAAGTAAATCCCGCGACAATATAGCAAATCGTCGCAAACAATACCGTTTAATCAATACCGGTTAGCAGTCAGTTAATATCCGCGGCACTCACGCTAAATCTCACTTAAAAGGACAGTTTGCCGTAATTAGAAATCCAGAGAGCTCTCTCCTCCGCGACGTATCTTCTCCGTTCAATTTGCTTCTCTCTCTCTCTCTCTCTCTCTCTTTCTCTCTAACGCGTCTCCCTTCGTCTTATGCCTGACCTACTACAGGGGGTAATTCCTCTATCGATTTGCGAAATATATACGCACGTACGTACATCGATGTGTTTTTTTGCACGTGGATTTATTTTCAATGTTTTTACAGAAAATTAAATAATTTGTCTTATCCATCGCAAAAAGAGAGATTTTTTTCACATTCCCGCTAGAAAAGACCGGAAAAAAATCTACTCGCGCTAAGTGGCGCTGCAAGAGAGAATTTTTTTTTAAAAGAAAAGCTCAAGGATCTTGCTGTTTGTTAATTGAAGTAGTATCTCGAGATATTGTAACATAAAAAAATTCGGAGAGCTCTCTCGAGCGCGCGGAGTCAATATAAATTTCCTCGTTTTTCCGCCCGTCACGAACGTGTCGCCGTAAAAATATAACGTCTTAATAACGTTTCTCGCTTTTTTTTTAAGAAGAGAACTTGACTCTACACACACACACGACATGTACGGATCGGACTCGAGATTTTTTGCAAGTCAAAATTTTTTACCGCAAAAATCTCGTTATAATCAAATTACAATTAAATTTATCCGAACAGAGACATGAATAAACTGTTTTCGCAATTATCGCTGAAATCGCACATGTATATTTTAGGTGTTCGACACGCGGATCAACGTTTCGGTTTTCAATATAGATAGAAGTGCTCTTGATGAAGCGCTTGTGTATAAGCGCTCGCGAACAGAGAGAGAGAGAGAGATGAAAAGCAATGGAAACAAATACCTTGTGATACGCAAGTGATACACACAACACTGCGAATGTGTATATTTTGTATTCCGATCGACGTGAGCGCGCGTAGAAGAGAAAAAAATACCGCTGATTTTTCCTCTATTGACTGTTTACGTTTTTCCGGAATATTATACGGTAGTATATTTTTAATCTCTCGCCCTCTTTGTCTCTCTTTCTTCATTAAAAGATATATTTATTTCGTACGCGCAAGCGATATTTTTCTTAAAATCGCTGCACACAACCAGCACAACTGTACGTACGTTGTGCACTTTGTGCGGAGAATTTACTCAGGAAGAACCGTGATGGGTGAGCGATAGGCGAAAGTCCGCCAGTCGATGGCAAATCCAACGGCGGAAATTTCAAATGTCCGATAGTCATCTACATATCCGTTTGTACGCTTGTCCGTTTTCTCGCCAAAACCTGTTCTTATCGATCTCGCGGGTACATTCGTTGTCGCATTAGCCGCATTCGAAATTCAGAACGCGAGTTATAACATGGCCGATGCGCGAGCGTTTGGTCGCCGATACGTATCGATGACATCCGTCGTCGCCAAATATCTCGCCTTTTTTCGATTTTCATTATCTTACCGATCTACTTTTTCTCGATTTTCTTCTATTCGCGCGATTTCTACACATACATACACACACACACACACACAATGAAATTCTCCTCTTACGGCCGAACTGGAAAATCCTCAAATCCTTCGGTCTTTTTCGTCGGGGATAATAGCGTCCCGCGTACAATATCGAAACGATCGA